CCTCGACATTTTGATCTTGTTGGATGACATTTTGGACTACCATATCGGTGACCTATCAGATTCTATCTCGGTGACTTTCGGTGTTGTCTACCTCCCCCACCTCTTCGTCTCTCCTCCCCCATTCATCTGTGTATGTGTGTACGGGGCTGAGCATCTTCTATGTATGGCTCAGACCCCCACCACCTCACGATTGTATGTGTGTGGAGTGATGTAAGTGAGTCAGTCTATGTGAGTCAGTCCGTTCATCAGACTTCCGTTGCATATATGCTCATCCTACATTGGTTGATCCTTGGTTCTTCCCATACTCATTGGAGTATGTAACACCAGACCATGTCAGCGGGACACGTCAGCAGCCGAGCAGTGCCACGTCAGCAGCAGGGAGTGCCACGTCAACAGTCCTCCGGCCTGGTCGATGCTCATGCGCTTACAAACAGTTGGCATGGATCAGAAGTCCGGGGAAATGGCCGAGGCCTATCAGGCCCGGATGTTGGCTTTGATTACCGAAGCCAAGAAACCGAGCGGATGAGGTAGCAGCCGCAGAGAAAAAGAAGGCAAAGGACGCCGAGAAGGCACGTCTGTTGGCAATCGAACAGCAGCGCCAGCAAGATGAGGCAGCAACAAGGGCGAGAAGATATTCAATGGAGAGCGAGCCTTGCTCACAATGGCAGCGGACTGGCAGGCCGAGGCCGAGAATGGTAAGATGGAAGAGAGTGAAAGCAAGATCGCTCTACTCCTTTCCCATTTCACGGATCTCCTGGCAACGTGCATTGCACAACAAGAGGACATCCACCGCCTCGACGACGCAGTTCAGACGCACAACCAGGAGTTTGATCAAGTCAACAGCCGCCTCCAGCAGCTGGAGCAACGACCCGTCACCGCCCGCGATGCCAGCTCCTCCAACACCACTGATCGCGACGTCGGAGCCCTCAATGACGGCGCGCAAGTACAGCAAACTGCCACGCAACAATCGGAACAACGGTTTTGTGTTGTTGCCGCCACCCCGAGCTCGGCACCGCATGAGACAACTCCGAAGTTTGATGGTCAAGAGATCTTCTGCGATTCGACGAAGGCGGACCCGGTTCCGTGGTTTCGCAAGTTTGAGCTCAAGTTGCAGCTACACCACGTCAGCGAGGACAACCATCACGCGTACTTATACTCCCGGTCGGGGGGCGCGTGCCTAGCATGGTTGGACAATCTCTTGTCCAAGTACGGAGTGCTGGCTGCCGACTTGCACACCAAGATCAGTTGGGATGATCTAAAGGCGGCATGGCATAAGCGGTTCCAAGTAGAGTCGTCGGAGATCAAGGCAATGGACAAGCTGATGGTCTTCGAACAAGGCACGCTGCCGAGTGTTTACTAGATTGCCGACTGCCAACGCTCGACATCCGTCCCAGACATTCAAATGGGCTTCAAGGGCAAGACGTGTGTGAGGCATCGTATCCGTCTGGCAGCGGCGACTTATCGTCTTCAAGTGGTTCTTCACGGGATTTGGTGCACGAGTTCAACATAGAGGTCTTGGACCCGCTCACGTCAGAGGATTTCGCATGGGCCGCTTGCCGGGACCGCAATGCGCAGCATTATGCGCTCATCTTCACACGTATCTATCCTTCTATGCACCACCTTCTTCGTCGACGGATGACGAAGCTGTAGTGGGGGACATCCTTGCGTATGTTACCAAGGTGGCCCGCGAATTTCGCAAGCAACAGTACGATGACAACAATGCTCTAGTCCTCTATGTCCGCGTCCAAGTTGGGCAAGCGTCCTACAGCGCTTTGCTGGATAGTGGAGCGACTCGCAATTTCATGAGCCAAGCCTTTATCCAAGGGGCTGGCCTTGGCGCACAAGTTTGGAGGAAGGCGAACCCGACGGCGATCAAGTTGGCGAACGGAAGGACGCAACAACTCATCGACCGTTACATTGAGGCCGTACCGGTGTATTTCGGACCTCGTGCATGCGAACCGGTGACGTTCGACATTTTGGACACGGACTTCGATATCATTTTGGGAATGCCTTGGCTTGCAAGCGCAGATCACACGGTCAACTTCCACCGGCGGACTCTTACCGTTTGGGACGCCTTCGGCGCCGAAGTGTCGTGTACTATTCCTCTTTTGCACCCTTCGATCCGGTGCCAAGTGGTGACAACCAAGTCGTTCCGGGCTACTTGCGCTTACGAGCAGCCCGACGAGATAGGCCTATGCTTCCTATGGACCGTCGCGGTAGCCTACTCTTCCCCCACGGACTTGTCTTCGGACCCCCGTGTGTTGCGGTTGCTTGACGAGTTCCCCAACATCTTCGAGTCACCTACCGGTGTGGTGCCGGATCGGCCGATCTCTCACGAGATCATTCTTGAGGCCGGTGTCGTGCTGCCGAAAGGCTGCATTTACCGCAGCTACGGCAACAGGCCGACCTAATACTTGGTACACTTTGCGTACTGCACCCACAAAGTTGACCGTTGGTTGACTCGTGCGGAACTCCAAGCAACAGTTCCAGATGTTCTCGCACGCTTCGAACGCAAGATGCAAGGCAAGCCCGTATCTTCGGCTCCACGTCGCACCCGCGTGCAGGTTCCACGTTCAGATCGTCAGCTTCGCCCTCGACCCGGCTTGACTTCATAAGGAGGGGGGGTGTTACATGCTGCGCATGCAACATGCTGCCCCTGAAACGAGGGCCATTTTCAGGCCCTGTGTTGTTTTCAGCCTAAAAGCCTGAAAACAAGGGCCCCTCAGGCCCTGTGTCGTTTTCAGCCTAAAAGCCTGAAAACAAGGACCTACAGGCCCTGTGTCGTTTCAGCCTGAAAGCCTGAAAACAAGGGCCTACAGGCCCTGTGTCGTTTCAGCCTAAAATAGGGCCCTTCAGGCCGTGAGTCTTTTCAGCCTGAAACGGAGGGCCATTTTCAGGCCCTCATAAGATCGACCTGCCCTGAAACTTTAGGCACCAGACCAGGGTTTTAGCACAGGCCATTTAGGGCCTGTTTTCAAGGCAACCTTTGTTTGAGCTTGAACGCCAGGGTCTGGCACGTTTTGGCATTGGCAAGAGCAGCCTCCTGGACGGGCCAGCACTATATAAGAACCCTGCAGGCTGCAGGTAGTTCATAGGGACTTCCCAGGCACTTCACATGCAGTTCAGGAGGCAGAAGGTAGTCTTCAGGATTCGGCAGCAGCACTCTGGAGGAGCGCTGCAGTAGTAATAGTAGCGTTAGCAGTAGCCTTCAGCGCTGGGCGCTAGTAGGAGCTAGAGTAGCGTTGGAGAGAGAGAGAGAGATTGGGCGGAGGCCAGGGAGACTTACCTGCAGCGCCATAGCTCCAGCTTCGTCTTCAAGGTACCTGCAGCACGGCGCCATCTTTAGAGGTTAGTACCTGGCACATGAGTGAGAGAGAGAGAGAGAGAGAGAGAGAGAGAGAGAGAGAGAGAGAGAGAGAGAGAGAGAGTTTTCTTCTTCTTCCTCTTCTCAGTCCACCATCTCCCTCTCACCCTCTCGCTACCTGACTTCACTGCATCAGC